CATTTTAGGTAGGCGTGGTTGACTCTTAACTTTTATAAAGAATATCTCTTTGGATTTGTGACTTTAGTCTTTGCAACTTTACAGATCTCCTTTATGCACCAAGAGCTTGTAAAAATTGAAATCGCATCATATGACCCCTTTAACATTATTGGGCTAGAGTAATGTCAACCTGACGATGCCTGTATGCCATTGAATGCCTGATTGTTGCATGCCATGCAAAGTTTGCATTTGGAGCGCTCAACATCACAATTAGATCAATGGGCTCTGTCAGTGCTTTGGCAAGGTAACGCTTTTTTTTTTTTTTTTTTTCCTTACTTTAACATCCAATTGAAAAATATTGGTATTGTAAAATTCGCTAATTCACAAGATCAGTGCATCCTTTATTAAATCGCTTGGTCGAATTTAACGCATCCTTACTGAAATGTCGAAATGCTGAATCAATTCATTCACTTCCAACAGCACTTAATTGGAGCAGCGCCATACACATAAAAGGGCAGAGCGTTGCGTTATTTAAAGGAATAAGTAGCTACTGATTACTTTTATGTGACTGATCAAGCTTTTATATGTAGTTTGGGGTAACAAAGGGTTTTATAGGTTTGACTGAAATAATAATTCAATAACTGACACAACAATGACAAAACAATTGAACAAAAATCAGATAAAGACAAAAAGTAGCCATTGGTAATATCTAAACATGTATCCAAATCCAAATGTAATACAATTAATTTATGTGTGATGACAATTTCTTAGCAACTAGAGATTGTTACATAGAGCTATACAGGCATCCAGTGGATATAGTGGTATTACAGATAATAAATTGTGCAAAAATTGTATCTTAATAGTCAATTTACAAATAATGCTTTCATATTTGTGGAACTCACAATGCACTGAATCTCCACAAATTTGTGTTGTTACTATGACAACCAATTTGATTGTGACAAGAAACTGATGTCTGAAAATAAATTATATAATTATAACCTATATACAAATATAAATTGGAAATGTATCAGTGTTGTTATTTAATATTTGAGTGTTTACATAATCAGTTTTATGTTATTTTGTATGTAATATTAAATTATCTTTTTTGGGGAGTGGTATGGGGGATTTGGGGCACTAATAGGGATTTCGCCTAGGGTGTCAAAATGGCTAGAAACGGCCCTGTCTATAACAGTAGCACACCAAAAGGGCTAGAAACGGCCGTTTGTAACTGAAACATCAATCCTGCTCATTTCTGTTCAATCTGTTTTTTTCTTTCAGGAGAATGGTGTAGAAAACGTACCTTTCCCGCCATCCCGCATCCCTTATTAAATAGTCAGGTATACTCCCCTTACACAGAGGAAGAGTTTTATTTACAGTATGTATAATTCTGTCACAACTATGTAGCTTTCAGACAGTGTCATAAAGTGCTAATGAAATGCTTACATCACAATGAGGACTTGCAATATGTTTGTGCATCATGGTGGAACCCTAGCTGTTTTGCATCCTCTAAAAAGTGAAGCTGATGTTTTCCTGGATTCAACTAACACAGGTGCTTTCACACCTGGCCCATTGTTTCAGAACCTGGCACATTTCAGGGCATATGTGAACACGGCAATCACGTTCGTATCCGCGCCAAAACAATCGGTCCGAGATCGCCTGAACTGTGGAGCAGTTCGGTTGTAGTGAGAAAGCAATCCGATCCAACGGACCAACGAACCAGCTATATCACAATGTATAATGGGTAATTACATAAGTTCCGTGAAAAGCATTAGCTCTGTTGTTTTGCTAACACTTCAAAATGAACCTGTGAATGTCTGTGGGTGAGCACGTCTTCTTCGCCATTCAAAATCAACTCGCACTTTTTCATTTTATAATGCCGTCTTATTGCTCTTCTTCCTAGGTGCATTTTTAAAATAAATTCCCGGCCTGAACTGTGGAGCAGTTCGGTTGTAGTGAGAAAGCAATCCGATCCAACGGACCAACGAACCAGCTATATCACAATGTATAATGGGTAATTACATAAGTTCCGTGAAAAGCATTAGCTCTGTTGTTTTGCTAACACTTCAAAATGAACCTGTGAATGTCTGTGGGTGAGCAGGTCTTCTTCGCCATTCAAAATCAACTCGCACTTTTTAATTTTATAATGCTGGCTTATTGTTCTTCTTCCTAGGTGCATTTTTAAAAAAAAATTCCCGATGAATACTGGACTCCTGCTGAAAATGCTAAATTAATATAAGGACAGCTACAAAAAATAATAATAATAACAACCCCGCGAAGCTGTTGTCGTTCCATCCTAACGGATGACAGCCCTGACAGCTAAGTGTGGAATCCAGGAAAATAAACCGTGGAACTTTGACCAATGAGAGAACAGTTTACTCGCGTGTGACTTGTATTAACAAATTTGGTCCGTTTGGAAACTTTGCCATGTGAAAGCGAACCGCACCAAGTAAAATAAATTCCCGATGAATACTGGACTCCTGCTGAAAATGCTAAATTAATATAAGGACAGCTACAAAAAATAATAATAATAATAATAACAACCCCGCGAAGCTGTTGTCGTTCCATCCTAACGGATGACAGCCCTGACAGCTAAGTGTGGAATCCCGGAAAATAAACCGTGGAACTTTGACCAATGAGAGAACAGTTTAATCGCGCGTGACTGTATTAACAAATTAGGTCCGTTTAGAAACTTTGCTGTGTGAAAGCGAACCGCACCAAGAATAAAAAGCAACATTGTAATAATTTTAGTCACTGTTTTGGAACAAAGCAATCGATCTACAGGTGTGAAAACACCCTTATTCTAGCACTGTTGTGCATGGTGGTCACTACAGTGGACATCTATTCAATAATAATTTTCTTTTATATGCATGGGATTTAATGGTGTAACTGCATATGAGCCATTACAGCAGACACTTATTGCATCACTGCAGGCCGAAACCAAAAAATGTAAACCAAAAAAAGTTCTGCTCCACGCCATGCTGGCCAGAGGAGAACTGGCCGCCTGACTGGGCCTGTTTTTTATCTATTTCCGTCACCAATGGAGTTTTGGTTCCTTGCCACTGTTGCCTCTGGCTTGCTTATTTGGAGACACTTAATTTCTGGCAATATCGTCAACTTGATTGCATGGATACTATTTGAACTGAACTGAGCTTGACGAAGACATCACCGAATCAATGATGAACTGACTTTAACTGAAAATTGAGTGTTTACTATTGTCCTCTTGCATTATCGACACACTATTTGCCTGTTTAATACTGTAAAGCTGCCTTGACACATCTGTATTGTATAAAGCACTATATAAATAAAGGTGACTTGACTTGCTCCTGTGAGTGATTGATTACAAAGTCTTGTGTTTTATATTCTACCTTCACATGGAAATAAATCATTGTAAATTGATTTTGTCTGTGCTATTCGAGTTCCTGTTTTTTTTTTTGCATGGCAGCAAGCAAACGGTAAATTTCACATTAGCAGGAATGGAAAAAGCCCTTCACCTGCATGCTAGGTTCACACACCTACCATGCACTGTCAAATGTACATCAACCACAAATGTTTATTAATAGGTACTCTTGTGCACATGTGGTTTATTTCAAGCAACAGATCAAATCACATGTCTGTATATATTTATAAGGCAGGGGTGTCCAATCCTGCTCCTGGAGGGCCAATGTCCTGCAGAGTTTAGTTTAGTTCTCAACTCTGCCCCTTGAGGTCAACTTTCCAGCAGAGTATAGCTCCAACCCTAATTAAACACACCTAAACAAGCTCACTAGAAAGTTACAGGTAAGTGAGTTTAATCAAGGTTTGAGCTAAACTGCAGGAAAGTGGACCTCGAGGGCCAGACTTGAGAACCCCTGCCATAGCAGATTTTACTTTGATTCTCAATCTGGCACTTCCAGTGTGTATGTGTAAATGTTATACCAATATCGTGTATGTAAATGTGTGTACTTTTCCAGAATATGTACTAAGTTCGGATACATGGCTGTGTGGATTCTCAGCAATACAAAAATTGTCCATAACTTGTAAACGTAAGAGATCACAAACCGAAACCAAAAATGCTCAGAGGTGCTCATTAGTGAAAGGGACTGAAAAGACCGAAGATTCATCTCATGCAGACAGGCGCATACTCCACGCGAGTGTCCTCTGTGGTTGTCTGTAAAAAAAAACACCAGTTGAGAACCGCTGATCTCCTCGGAGCAGAAGTCTAAAAACTCATTTAGTGTTTTTATTAATATTTGTAAATATGTGTCAGATCAGCATAGAAGCACACACAACTCATGCACACAACGCACAGGAATAAAATGAACTTACTAGTTTTTGTGCATTTCGTTTGCAGAATGTCGGATCAGCGTAAGTGATCTCTACTTTGTGAGTTTGAACTGTTACATTAGCATCAACAGCACCTATAATAAATCATATAAACAACACAATGCATTATAAACAAAACTGCAATTTAACTACATCTTTGCCTTTTATATAATGTATGTATAATATTAACAGCACTGTCTACGTGGTATGTGTTTGTAGCACCATCTAGTGTCATTATAGATATACACACACTTGTTGCAATATAAGTGTAATTCAAAGGAATTGTAAAACCCAATACTGCATTATTTCCACTGCTTTCTTATACACTTGCCTTCAGTTGTTCTGTGTTTCCTGCAGATGCAGCAGATCCCGACTGCAGCTACAATCAACAGAGATCCAACAGAAGCAGCAGAAGTTAACATGTGATGTGAAGTAGACTTTTCGTCCAGTGCTGTAATCATAAAGAAGTGAATGCATCAGTCTGATCTACAACAAAATACAGAGACCAGGTCAGTAAAAACACACGCATATCAGCGCTGCTGTACCTGAACATGTGTGACAGAGTTGACTGATGTCCAGATGTCTGGTCTGGTTAGTGAATGAATTGTTGAGCACACAGCTGTAGCTGTTTTTATCCTGATATTCCACCTCCAGAGGTAGAGAGAGACTGATGCTGAGATCAGACACACTGATGCTGGACAATAAACTGTTTCCTTTGTACCAGGAGAGAGTCACATGACCCACATTCAACACTGAACACAGCAATGAACAATTCTGCTGTGATGGTGATGATGATGATGAAGAACATTGTGAAGAGTTACTGCTGATGACAGGAACAGACAGACGAGCTGGAAACATGAGAGAATAAACAAATACGGATAAATATAAGTTAGTGAGTGTGTTTGTCATCTCACACACTGAAATAATTTAATCGTGTAAGTGGTTGCAGTAAAATAAAACAAGAATATGCAAATGACAGGACAAATGATTTCTACTCACCATAGACAGAAACACTGAATGTTTTTGTTAACAGTTTTGCTCCACTAATCTCTAGTTTATAGAGTCCAGCATGTTCAGTTGTGGTGTTTGTGATGGTCAGAGATCCAGTTTGATTGTCCAGCTTCAGTCTGTCTCTGAATCTATAATCAGGACCATCATTATATGTGAAGAAGGTTTTAGTCTCTCTGTTGATTTTAGCTACGAGTGATTTTTCGCCTCCAAAATACCACAGTATGTCATCATCTTCATGTATTTCAGTAGCATCAGTTTGTAAAGTAACAGAATCTCCCTCAATCACAGACTGTCTTTCATTTGTCTGTGAACCAAACCCACCTGGAGAACATGAAAAGGTTTTAATACAGATTAAGGTTCTTATTTGAATTGAAGAGCAGCAGCAGAAATGCAGAAAGGAAGCCTGAATATAATTGATCTGAGAAGAAAAGCTAATGTAAATCCCCAATTTGAACAGCAGCAGTAGCTGATGTTCTGAAACAAAAACAAATAAAATGGCGTAAAATGCTTTTATAACTTACCAATCAGATGCCTCCTGCACAAACAGAACAAAATAAGCATGTAAAACATTTTCTTTACCAGTTCTCTGTCTGATCTAATAAGGCTATCTGCTAAAAACACGGCGTGAATCCTCCCACGAGTTTGACTCTCCTAATGCAAACGCACATGATCTGCATGGTATATAGTTACATATAAATATACTTCTGGCTCTTATTAAGCTATTTGATGCTTTAATAGCCCAAAAAAGTGTACAATTGTTTAAAGCTTCCAAAATTTTGTGGTAAAATAAAGATTATGGATTTTAAAAGAGTTTATAATCCTTCAGTTGTTGTGAACTGTAAAACGGTTCAAATCGTCTTTTATCGCACATTGCCAGTCTGAGGTGAGACAATAGCAGCTCATATTTTGCATCGAACTGAAACCTTCTGTGGTCTGATTTCCTTAGAAACATGGTTTGATCTGTTGGGTGGACAAACATCTTATGCATGGGCTTTTAGTGCATGTGTGTTTAGTTTGTAGGTGAAAGGCTTCTTCCTGCTTTAATGTACCTGACAGTATATCCTCTTCATACAGAACAGCTTGAAATAAAATTGAATCCATCAAAAACCGTAAAATAGTCCCAGGTCAGACATGATTAATTATCATAAATCATTAATAAACTTGACTGACAACTGATCATTTTACAACACACACGCACACACACACACACACACACACATTTTGCTATCCTTGTGGGGACTCTCCATAGGCGTAATGGTTTTTCTACTGTACAGACCGTATATTCTATTGCCCTACACCAACCCTACCCCTAAACCTACCCCTTACAGGAAACTTTCTGCATTTTTAGATTTTCAAAAAACTTAATTCTGTGTGATTTATTAGCTTGTTTACCCGTGGGGACCTCAATTTAGGTCCCCACCGTGACACGAGTCCCCATGAGTCTGTGTGTATTCAGGTTTAAGTCCCCACCAGTATAGAAAACAGGTACACACACACACACACACACACACACAAACGGTTGTTTGAACTAAACTGTTGCTACACTTTAAACAGAAACTACAAAATAGCTTCATGGTGCATTGTGTTTACTGGAAGCAGATTTATGATAATGCAAAGCAGTTAAAACAAATGTATGTTAAAGAAATAAAACATATAGAGATAAAATGCATTGTTTAAGTGATTGTCATGACTGTAAGATAAGACAAATAAATGAAAGTACATGAACTTTTAATCATGTCATGACCTTCAGCCTGTTGTTTTATAGGCAAGGTTTATGTGAGCATAGAAAAAAGACATTAGCTTTGTCCGAAATGTCCCTAATATAAAAATATACACAACTTTATTCTTATGCCAGTTATCATGAGCATCTACTGAAAAGTGTTTTTATAGTTATCAAACAAATATTACATCCACTTCCTTTGTGGTAAAGCAAAGATGGTGTCTTAGTGACACTCCTACAACACAGTAGGAGTGTCACGACAACACTGAAGAATATATATATGATGTAATTTATAACTGACATTTCTTAAAAAATCCATGTCTAATGGATATGAATGTGTGCAAGAGTGTATGTAGATGTAGGACTAGGTTGTGTTAGGCTAAAATTATTTATGCAGAAATAGGTAGGCCTATATGAATGTATTTATTATGTGTAAGAATAGAAATGATTCCCTTTCTCTAATGATGCTGAGGAGGGGAACACATAGCGCTAGTTGGGCTCAATTGGTTCTGATATGGCAGTGAAAGAGGAGTGATACAGATGAAGAGGAAGAAGGTGTGTAGGGAAATGAAGACAGCAGGTTATGTGAGAAAAGAAACAGTAGGTGGCGGTATGTGCCGGTTCGGAATACGCCAACACGCTAAAAAAGAACAGAAATGTACGGCTTGGATGACACAGCCTTTTTTTGTGCTGTTAATGCTTCTTCTTCACATCGCCTTTCGCTTTCACTTGGTTTCCAAATAGAAACCAAAAAGAACATTTTTGTTTCCACACATTCTGTACTTAGTTTCGAAAGCGTGGTGGAAATTATGTCAGGTGTTTTTCTCACATTGTGTGTTTCGCTTTTGCATGGTAAGCGATTTTTAATTATGACATATAGTTATTGTAGCAATTTCTGGGTGTGGAAACAAACAGCCATTTCTTGTGACGTCGCCATCAATATTTCAGATTAGTCGTATTATTTTGTTTTGAATTCTAAGTATATGTTCTGTACAGTTTCGAGTAACGTTAATCCTTTATTTAACGTTGTGACGCATTTTGATTTGAGAGGTGGGGGAGGGGGTTGCATGCAAAATCAAAGACTGATATCTTTAATATTTGGACAGACAAACTGTACATTTGAAGACAAAACACAGTATTTTGAAATATGAAATTGTGTTATTTGACCCCTAATTAAATTATAAGTAGCATTAGGCTATTTTCCAATCTCCTTCAGTGAATGATATCTTCAATGGTCTACGAAAAAATGCAAGTATAGTCTTGTTTGTCTGATGAGTGAATATGTAATTCAATGATGTTCTTCTGCTGTTTGTTTGCATGTGTTGCATTATAAATCCAGACATATTTCTCACAGTCTATGATCTGTAGAAAAAAAATAAAAATAAAATCACAACACTTTCCTGTTGCATAATTTTGTCCCACTATCCCAGACATGATTTATAATTATTTGCTCGTTTCTTCTTCAGGTGCATCTGGTGTTGATTCAGACGAAGTGTCAGTGATGGAGGGAGATTCAGTCACTCTAAACACTGATGTTGAAACAAACCAAGAAGACAGAATAATGTGGTATTTTAATTACGATCGTATCGCTCAGATCACTGGAAATCACAGTAAGATCTGCACAGATGATGTGTGTCCTGAGAGATTCAGAGACAGACTGAAGCTGGATCATGTGACTGCATCTCTGACCATCACAAACATCAACACCACAGACTCTGGACCTTATTATCTTCAGATCAACAACCGCAACCATGAAAAGATGTTCAATGTTTCTGTTCATGGTGAGTCATATAACATTTAAAAGCAGGCAATATATGTTTAAATCAAATGAGTTTATTGTGTTTATTGTAGTGGTGACACTTAGCAGCTTGAAAAAATTGTGAATGGATTATGTGAGGGATATCAACAGTTAGGTGTGCATTGCACGATTTTAATGTACAATGTGGAGGCAAAGAACCGCTTGATGTGCAGCTAGCCATGGATTATCGATGGTCACTTGTCAGCACTGGCAAGTTAAAGCTGGTGTTTACAACACAATATTTGACCGAAAGCGGAAAAGACGGTTATTTTTGTCAGTTATGGCTCGTTTGATCTAGCTTTTTGTCCACTTTAAATCAGACACTGAGGCCATGTCCACACGTACACGGGTATTTTTATAAACTGAGTTTTTCCTTCCGTTTAAAAAAAAATCTCCGTCCACATGAAAACGCAAACGCATGCTATGAAGCGCTGTCAAGAGCATGCCAAACCAACAGGTGGCGATATAATCTCAACCGTAAAGCCATGTTGGCCAATCAGAAGCCTGAAAAAGTCTCCAGTAGGCGGAGATAACAGCGCAGGTGCCGACGTCACAAGCCAAAAACTCCGGTTTCGCTGTCTACACGATAACACTGCAACCGGAGTTTTTGAAAATCTTCACCCTGGCAGGCGTTTTCAAAACTATTCGGTTTCAGTGACCTGGTGCTGCGTTTGTGTGTGGACGAACGGCCAAACCATGTAGAAAAAGCTGCTGTTTTAAAAATAACCGCATTCGTGTGTACAGGGCCTGAGATAAAGTAGTGCTGTAAGATTACATTTATTTGAATTGATTGTAGCATTTATTTGAATTAATTATATGTGCGCGAGAGATTGTGGGTTGTGAATTTGATTACTTAAAGAAAACAGTGACATTTACCTCATGTTGTTGAGACATGTAATGTAGCGAATTTATTTTATTCATGAAAGTCACGGTGTAGCGTTGACGGCAGGTTTCTTTGCTCATGAGTGTTTCTGTATGTGTGCAGCCTTCCAGCCAATCAGAATCAAGTATTCAGACAGATGATGGTATAAATACAGAAAATGAGCAAAGAACACTCATTATAATCAATAATGAGCCCTCATGTCTTTCCAAATCGGTTTGAGCTTCTACTTACCATATGTTGTGTGCGTTTGTGTGTTAATCAATGTTTATATGTAATTGAAAGCCCAAATGAAATCTGTTCATCATGTAAAGTGTTCTTCAGTGTGTAATTATTTTCATATCCGCACTCTTTCTTGTTGTGTAGTTTGTTGTTTTCAGCAAAAAGATCCTCCAGCAGCTGTTGGTTTGTGTTTCAGATGCTCCTGCCGCTGATCAAGATGAAATTAAGTCAGTGAAGGAGGGAGAATCTGTCACTTTAGGTCCTGGTGTAATAAACAACCCAAATGATTTGATCACGTGGCTTTTTAATGGCATCCGCATCGCTGAAATCACTGGAGATCCCAGTAGGACCTGCACAGATGTTCAGTGTGAGGATGCTGATGGGAGATTCAGAGACAGACTGGAGGTTAATCAGACTGGATCTCTGACCATCATGAACACCAGAACCACAGACTCTGGACTTTATAAAGTACAGATCATCAGCAGCAGCAGCAACAGCTTCAGTATTAGAAGGAGTAGGAGTTTCAGTGTTACTGTCACTGGTGAGTGTCATTCAGTGCAAATTAAATAAAGTACCTTTCATTGAGGACTGTTAACAAAATGCACAATGCAAAAAAGTTTCCTGTAAGCATTGATATTTCCTGTTGATTGCGTTGATGTCGTTTTAGTTCCTGTAACTCAAAAACCACCATTTGTCAGTTAAATCCATACCACACAACTGATGAACAAAGCAGAAAGGTGTAAATATCAGTAACATCAAATTAAATTGATATGACTGTCTCTCTTTATCGTTACAGGTTCAGGTCCATCTCTAGCTGCTGTAACAGGAATATGTGCTGCTGTAGTTATTCTGCTCGTGGCTCCAGCTGCTGGTGTAATTTACTATCTTGAGCAAAAGAAAGTTGAGTATTACATACAGCTGATTGAACAAGATGAAAATAATAGAGTCATTGTGTGTGCAAGATGTGAAAATATGTATTTTCATTCTAATTGGCCAAAGTCGTCTTTGTATGTAACTGAGTTTGTCATTATTGTTCAAACAGGCAGGAGGGCGGAGCGAAATCAAGTTCAGGTAATATAAACCTAAATTCCTCAAAAACACAGTTCTAATCTTTAAGTTTGTTTTGTGTGTGTGTGTGTGTGTGTGTGTGTAACTAAATCATCAATCCTGTTCATTTCTTTTACCTTCTATGTTTTCTTACAGAAGAATCCTATAAAATACTCATCCGTTAGTCAGACTAAGGCTGCTGCTAATGACGCGTCCCATGAAAAGACTGAGACTGCCACTGAAACACCACCGTAGCATTATTTATTATTTTATTTTTCTTGAAAGGGACAGTGAAGAGACGATGGGAAATGAGGAAATACGGATCAAACTCACTCAAACGGTAGTCCACGTTTTTTCAGTTACATAAGCTTCCAAAAAGGCAGTTAAGCAGTAAACCAGCAATAAACTAAGAAACAAAGCAGCACGTTACCAGCAGCAGAACAGCAAGTGCTGGAGGTTTTCAGTATGTAAAGTAGGGCTGCAAAACGATTAATTGTGATTAATCGATTCAAAATAAAAGTTTGTTTACATATTATATTTGTGTGTACTGTGTATATTTAGTATGTGTATATATAAATACACATACATTTATATATTTAAAAAAATATTTGTATGTAAACGCTTGTTTATAATTTATATTATATATAAATCTAAATATTTTATATATAAATCTAACATATTTTACCTTAATATATACATGTATGTTTGTGTATATATACATAATAAATATAGACAGTACGCACACATATAGTATGTAATCATAAGGTTTTATTTTGAATCGATTAATCATTTTGCGGCCCTAATGTAGAGGTTTATTAAACCTGCTACAGTGATCCAAAACAAGAGTAGTCAACGATTTCTGTTTCTTGTCATTTGCACCATAATGCCATTTTCACTGGTCAGTTATTTTGTCCCGTCTGTTTACATCCTCTTTAACTGACTGTTTACATGAATACCTCGCCAAGACGGCCATTATGACAAGGAAATGTATTTGACTGCACGCATACAATCGCACTTCATATACTTTAGTTGCCATTACTGGTTACGTTATTTTGCTATTGACATCTCGCTGTTACTACATATTATGTTAACTTGTGTAATGTGAAACAATGTGGTTTTAGAATGTTACAGTTAGTTGCTTAGCAATCGCGTACCTATTCACATGCTTTGGATAATCATGGAATCACAGTGCGCTGTATAAACAGACGTTTCAGCATTTGAGGGAATTGAAGAAGTATTCAAAATCCACTCAGGAAAAACTTTGTACTATAGCACAGTAGCAAAGGTCTGTATGATGATGTGCAATGCTGGATCTGTTATGTAAACAGGTTGCATAGTGCATTTTTCCAATCAATGACACTAACTCAAATATGCAAATAAGAACGCTAACCTGGGGTATAGGAATGTATAACAGCCAAAAATGTGTCATTCTTGCTCAAAAATTGAACAATGTTTATAATAATGCACGTACCTTTGTGTTGTGCTTTAATTTAAAACAGAACAATCCACGGTTTGAGAGTAGAGTCACTCTTTAACTTCTATTTATGCCTCTTTGGCATAGCGATCAACAAGAGTAGTCAACGATTTCTGTTTCTTGTCATTTGCACCATGCCATTTTCACTGGTCAGTTATTTTGTCCCATCTGTTTACATCCTCTTTAACTGACTGTTTACATGAGTACCTCGCCAAGACGGCCATTATGACAAGGAAATGTATTTGACTGCACGCATACAATCGCACTTCATATACTTTAGTTGCCATTACTGGTTACGTTATTTTGCTATTGACATCTCGCTGTTACTACATATTATGTTAACTTGTGTAATGTGAAACAATGTGGTTTTAGAATGTTACAGTTAGTTGCTTAGCAATCGCGTACCTATTCACATGCTTTGGATAATCATGGAATCACAGTGCGCTGTATAAACAGACGTTTCAGCATTTGAGGGAATTGAAGAAGTATTCAAAATCCACTCAGGAAAAACTTTGTACTATAGCACAGTAGCAAAGGTCTGTATGATGATGTGCAATGCTGGATCTGTTATGTAAACAGGTTGCATAGTGCATTTTTCCAATCAATGACACTAACTCAAATATGCAAATAAGAACGCTAACCTGGGGTATAGGAATGTATAACAGCCAAAAATGTGTCATTCTTGCTCAAAAATTGAACAATGTTTATAATAATGCACGTACCTTTGTGTTGTGCTTTAATTTAAAACAGAACAATCCACGGTTTGAGAGTAGAGTCACTCTTTAACTTCTATTTATGCCTCTTTGGCATAGCGATCACTTGAATATAGAGCTACAAGTTCAAAATCTGAGCCCTTATTTCACTAAAAACATTAGCCTATAAAATGTAGAAGTTTGAAAACTGCCGAAATTATCACAAATTTCGTCCACCAACCCAAACCAATTTTGACCCGCAATCCAAATCACATCCACCTGATTGGGCGGAAATCCACCCAATCTGGCAACACTGGTTCTGTTGTAATGTGCACAAGTGAAAGTTTTATTTGTACATTTATGTGAATCACAGTGGAGTTGTAATGTCATCTTGCCATTTTGTGATATTTTATGAGGAGCTATTTAGATAGTCTCACTGCCAGAGTCTTGAATTTCATTAATGTGGGACATTAAAGGTGAACATCCTGTTCATGAAGCATGTTTATTGTAATACTATGCTTTATATTATCATTGTGTGATAAAGATTTGCCTCCACTTGGGGGGCTTAGCCTGTAATATGGGTGTTACAATTGCTTAAATCAATAAGAACTGGACATGGATGTTTTAGTTTCACCAATGCAAATGTTTCAGTGATTTTAGTAAATGATCTGTGTATATAAAGAGTTTTTATTTTGTGGAAAAAAGGGAAATATCATGTGCCTTTCCTTAACTTTGTGTCGGCAAATGTAAACAAAGTGCTTTAAAGTTGAGCCTGTATAAACGCTGTTGTCTTTCTGAATAAATAAAATAATAATAATAATAAATTGAATGCTCCTTGTATGTTTGCATGTTTATTTGCTAAATGGCATTAAAAATATTCACACGTAATAGCTGGATTCTTGGAATGGTGAATTCCTAGTTAAACACAAGATTACTAATACTATTATAATACTACTTGTATTATACACACATGTATTAATGAAATATAAGTGGTAATGTGATATCAGACTCTACTGTCTGAAAAAAAATTGACAATTTCTTTATCTTACACTCTTTGAAGACATTGAACATTAGTAACCCTAATATACGGTGAACATTAGTAACCCTAATATAAGCATAGTACGGATGACAAAGCAAGCAACACTTTTTTTCTGTATGAATATTGCTCATCCCTCTAGGTCAAATGCTGTATTAGTTTAATTTTTTGAGGGTGCGCTTTCACCAGCTTGCTTCGAGTTATAGCAAATGCAGAAATTAAAAGCGTAAACGATTATATCTAAGCTATAAAATGGCATACTTTGGGCTGAGAAATGCAAAGGATGTTATGTTTACGATACAGAAGCATTAGGTGCCCAGCAAGCAATTTTGCGTTTAAAAGACGTCTATTAGACGTCTAAATATAGCCTAGATGTCTAGGCTAAAACGAGGCTAAATTTGGGCTGTCAGTGAAAATCGAATAGATGTCTAACCATAGCCCAAGAATAGACTAGTCATCAATTAGACCGCTATTAAACGACTACATGTATATGTCTAATAGACAACAAAATGGCAATCCATACATACATACAGCTTTTATTAAGAAAAATAACATTTTTAACAACTTGGACAACTTAAGACAATACAAAATTATAAAAATACAAAAGAATTAATGACAAAATAAAATGTTATAAATACAATACACTTAAATATAAATATTATGATAAAAAACAACGTTTTTAACAACATATTTTTATATAATAAAAATATAAAAATTAAATATTTTAAATAACTTAAGATATTTAAAAGAAAAAAAAAAATCTAATACAAATCAAGAGCATGTATCACACTTAACATTAAAACATTACGGATAAATGACAACATAAAAAAAGATTAACCCTTTTGTTGGTTTACTTTTAACAAATAAAACAACCAACAGTGAACTTAAAGGAAAT